CTCTGGTTTTGAGTCTTTTCATTTAAAACAACATGAGAGCTTTCAGGATCGAGGCGGGATCTTATTAACCCAGATTCCGTTTGTGGCCCTTGCTGCATCTTTGAGAACGAAACCTTGGGGTTGTAGCTCTTTCACTAACATTACTGAATATTTCATAGCACTCCAGTCCTGCCACATTGTGCTGCACTTCTTTTTTAATGAACTACCAGCTAATGGAGAAAAGCCTGTGCTTAACTAATTCTGAGTGTAACAACTGTATGAGATGTGAGTGGATGCTAATGGATTTCTCTTTTCCACATTTATCTTTATGTCATCTCTGTTTTCTTTCATTGAATGCTGGAACATCAAGGTGACAGTCGCACAATTACATTGGGTAATAAATAGGTGGGATGTTAGACTTCTTTTTGTTTTAATTTCAGATTTAATTTGAGTTTATTGGATAGGAAGGATCCAAACCAACACTTTCAGTTCTGCATTAATCCAAAGTAATGGAAGAAAATTAAATCCTGAACCTAAAATAATCTGCATTCAGCAAACACAACGTAGAGCACAAAACACTTTGCTTGTTTGCTTTTTAGTTTACTGTATTGCAAACATTAAAGGTGTGGTCTACTTGTTTATTTAATATCTTTGCAGTGTTTTAGAGTAAATAAATGCCTTATGAGTCATTAAAAAAGCTATGATGCTCCTGTTCTGAGATGCAAAATTTTGCTGGTGGAGAGGTGGGCTGAAAACAGCAGGATTACTCATTAATTATTATTAATGATATGCACACACACCTCTCTTCTGATTGGCTAACAGAACGCATTCAGCCATGTTGCAAAGTCACGATCACAAACACACTCTCCGTTCTCTCTCCTCACTGCAAAAAAAAAAAAAAAGGACTTCCAGTGGGCAGGCATGAGCTAAGATCGGCGAGGCCATGAATGCAAATTCACATTGCGACATCACAATCTGAGAATTTTCAAATCCCAGAATTTCACTGTCTGTTTTCTATCAGAAGCTAACGCAGGAGATAGGTGTAGGAGACTTTTTTCATGTTCAGTCTGCATGAAAAACTTAGAGTGACTGATTATAATCAGAAAAAAATATGAAAAAATGTTTTTTTTCAGTCAACCACACCTTTAAAAAATGAATAAAACTAAAAAGACGATAGTTTACAATCAAAGCTCTCGATTTACCGGTCGATCTACGTTCCTACCCTCACCTATGGTCACGAGCTTTGGTTAGTGACCGACAGAATAAGATCGCAGACACAAGTGATTGAAATTAGTTTTCTCTGCAGAGTGTCTGGGCTCTCCCTTAGAGATAGGGTGAGAAGCTCAGTCACCAGGGAGGGACTCGGAGTAGACCCGCTGCTTCTCCGCATTGAAAGGAGCCAGAGTAGGTGGTTCGGGCATCTCGTTAGGATGCTTCCTGGACGCCTCCCTGGTGAGGGTTTCTGGGCATGTCCAACCAGTAGGAGATCTAAAGGAAGACCCGGGACACGCTGGAGGGACTATGTCTCTCGGCTGGTCAGGGAACACCTGAGGATTTCCCTGGGGGAGCTGGCCCAAGGAGAGGGAAGTTTGGACCTCAGATAAGCAGCTGAAAATGGATCGATGGAGTTTACAATCAATGTTGTTCGAAAAGGAGGGAGGTTGAAGTATATATTTTGATAGAAAGGTCACCCTCATCTGTGTTTCAACTAAATCTTCACTTTAGAGAGTTCACAGATGTCCAACAACTTTTAATTAGCTTTCTGTTAAAGTAAAATTAAACCTTAAAGTGAGAATACAAGATACCAAGCCATAGAAGTTGGATTAATGAGGCTCTGCTTGTTCTTCTGTGATATTTAAAACCTCTTTAATTAGAATTAAAGGTTCTTGTTTCTGCAAGAAACCCACAAGAAAAGGAGTCTCCTAGATGTTGTTTGCAAATACAAACATTAATATTAACAATATTCCAACTGTTTTCCTTCTATATGGTTAATTGGTTTATAGCTGCATGGATGCTGAAGGTTAAAGAAAGGTGTTACACTAATTACATGTAAACTTGATATTAATGCATGAACTCAATCACAATTATTTTTTATTCAGTGGTGCCTTGCTCTTTGAGAGCATAAAAGGTGAATGGGATCCAAGATCAAAACAATGATGATGAACTGAATAAAAATCATTTTCATCACATTTTCTGAACCTGTCATTTTGCCCAGCAGCAAACAGAAAATATCGGGTACATCCTGCTTTTTTAGTGATCCTAACACAATTTTAAGGACTCCACTGTGCCTGAAACCAGTCAGGTTTATTTTTAGTTTATTTACCACCTTAGTTCAAGTCATTCCCACTCATTTTTCTTTTTTTTTCAAACACATTTTTTTGAATCAACACGACATTATTGCATGGCTCACCAACAATAAATCTAATTAATGTTTGTGTTAGATGTGCGCAGAGCTCTGTTGACTTTTCCATGCTGCACATCCTGGTTGGTGCGCAGCAGGAAGGGAGTGAAACAGCAAAACTATAATGAGATTTAGATTACAGCGTCTGTATTTTTGAATCACTTTAATCCAAGCTGTGTCTATCGGTTGCACAAATACCCACAAAAGCATCTATCCTCACATTTACATGTGCAAAGGAGAGGCAGCATCCCTTCACATCACTCAACTCAGCTGTTTCTATCTGCCTACAAATTGCATCTCTGCTTTTGAGGTGATCCCCCCCACCCCCTCACCTCTGTAGGGTTGTCGTGCCGATTGGTTTCAAACTGATTTTCTCGCTGCTGCTCAGACTGATTGGGAGTGTGATGCATCTCTGTGGTCAAACAGGGCTTTGCGCTGCATGTTAAAAGAGCATGCAGCATCAGTAGGAGGGAGGGAAACCCCACAAAACACTGCACTCCAGAGATCAGATTTTATTTAACGCAGCAGCACTCTGAGGAGCTTTGATGCAGAGATTCAGACCAGCAGATTTGATTTGGATGCAATCAGGTCATAAAAAGACAATACTTGTGTTTTAGGCCTGGAGACGGTTTTATTAACCCTCCCACTGTCCTAATGAGTGACCCCGCGAGGAAAGTTGACCATTGAGCAGGGTTGATGGTTTATCCCTTGAGGTCCATGTGGCAGGGGTGAGGAGTGAGCACCACCTCACCCCTGCCACGTGGATCTCAAGGGATAAACCATCAATCCTGCTCAATGGTCAACTTTCCTCGCGGGGTCACTCATTAGGACAGTGGGAGGGTTAAAAAGAGACCTGGCAAATCTCTTCTGCACAGGTTAAAAGCATGAGTTGTCAGGCTTGTGCAACAGATAAATCCTGTTTTATATATTTTATGCTTGTTGTTTTGCTATATGCAGGGAAAAAAGGGCAAACCTAAACTAAAAATGACCTAATTAGGAGCAAAACCAATTAACTCATCTGATATCTAACATTTAAAGTTTACTTTCCCCACTTTAAATGTTATTTGTATGGAAAAGAAGGCAGTGGGGGAGAAATACCACAAAGTCAGACTCTGATGTTAAATTACTTGCTGCAGCATCGTTTGGGTATTCATTAATTTATTTATTATTTACCACACTGTATCCGTCTGACACACCGAGTCTGAAACGTCAGTGCATGTGCACGCACACTCACATGCATACATGCATCTCTGTTCCCTCCTGCCTCATCTTGGAGATGCAGACCTCTAATGCTGTGTGACTGCACTCCCCAGGGTTTCTTTCTGCTCTGCTGATCGAGCCCGGCTCCCTGAGTGTAGAAAATCAGGGAATCCCTGCATTCGCTGGCTTCTCGTGTACTTTAGTCGCCCATTTGTTCCCCCTCTTGCCTCCAGCCTGATCGTTGTGTAAAGGCTTGGCTATCATTAGGGAGCCATTCTTGTGACTGTAATACAAAAAAGCCTCGGCAGAGACAGCAAAGGAGCCAAATGAATCAATTTACAACAGTGTCACTATGACAGATTACACTATGATGGGATGTCTTGCACAGCTTTGTGGCATGTTATTCAGAATATCCACTGGATTTTAATTTTGTAACAATTATTTACATATTTTTAAGTAAAACAAGTGATTTCCTCTTTTATGGTGAATGAACAGACTTGTTGACAGAAACTGGTTAATAAAATCAGTGTATTGATAAAACTACGTTTTTGTAGTATTATTCAGAAACAATAATTCTATTAGCAATAACATAAATTAGGGGAAACTGCATTATCTGAAATTTAATTATTTATCTTTAATCAAATAAAGCAACAGAATGCAAACCAACATTTCAAAAATGATTCACATGCATTTGCAGGATTTTGAAAAATAACAAATGCTGCTCATTTTTACATCCAAGGATGCAGCTGACTGGACCTTCTGTGATCTACAGCATCACTAATTAGCTGTATTCTCTGCATGCTTTTGAGCTTTGGCTTTATATCAAACAACTCTCATCAACATTTGATGCAAAAACAAAACATAAAAAAGATGAAAATAAATCCTCTCCTGAAGTGGAATGAGGTCATCCTGCCTCCTGTGCACTGGTCATTGTGTCATTAAACCTGCAGACACCCAGCAACATCCCTGGGATTTCCTGGTGAAGCCACCAACAAGGTCAGCGTTTAACAAGGAGACACCTGTTAAAGGAACAGCATTCGTTGTCGTCGGTCATTAGATCTACACCTGATTTACACTCCCCAGGTCTGATCAGAAGTTAAACACCTCAGCATGTTGGATTTATCTGCAGGTAAAGCTGTCGAGCGGAGGCGACTGAGGAGGAAAAGGAGGCTTTTGCTGCATTGCACCTGGCTAAATGCGCCTAACTTTGGGACGCAAGTGGGCTGTCTGGTCCCAGGGACCTCCACCGAGGTCGCGATGGTGGACGCACACTTCTCCCTTCACCTCCCCTCCTCCTTCTGCCCAAAACAAGGAAAAGACTAAAACAAAAGCAACTGCAGAGCTCCCATTTCCCTGAGAACACACGGCGGTGTTTGGTCCCTGGTGGGTTTGTCGGCTGACTCGCAAAGCAGGGGCTTACCTGGGGGAGCGGCGGGGAGGCTCCGGCTAGGGGGGAGGAGGCTGCGGAGTCAGTCCGGGGATCACGGTCCGTGTGCGCGTCTGTCGGTGCGCCTCAGCACCGTCTGAAGGCACAGATCCACTGCCAGGGTGTTCCCGACAGGAGGGGGCGTGGTGTGTGTATGTGCGCGAGTGTGTGCGTGCGTACACACATGTGTCGGACGAGCAGTCCTCACAGATGTGGTTATTCTTGACAATGCGACAGCTGTTGTGTATAAATGATCCAGACAAGCCAGCCCGGAGCAGCAGCATCTCCACACAGGCGCAGGGAAACTCCCCACTGTCACAATGGATTTCCCTGCTGGCTTCCTCTGGGAGCCTGTTTCCCTGGAAGAGCTGTCAGAAGTGAATCCGGATGAAACCATGTTTGAGCTGGTTCACTTACATCAGCAGAGCAGAAACAGCATCAGCAGAATATTAGCAGAAGTGTCAGATATAACGTCTTTCAGATCAGAGTATAACTGATTTATCATGATCATCATCATCATCATCATCATTATTATTATTATTATTGTTGTTGTTGTTGTTGTTGTTGTTTTCAAATCTTAGAATGTTATGAACATGTTAAAATTGCTAAATGTAAGTTGTAACATGTAGAATGGTTCTTTTTCTAAATAAATGTCTAACAATGACCAACATTTTTTGCATTATATATATATATATATATATATATATATATATATATATATATATATATATATATATATATATATATATATATATATATATATATATATATATACATACATGTATATATATAAACCATAACATTTTTTACGTTAAGAGCTTAATTTTATTCTGAAACTCAGTCCTAATTAAAGCTTCTTTCGACCTTGTAAGCTTTTCATTCCATAGCTAACATTATCTTTCACACAGGTTTTTATCCCCTATGTAAATGTTCTTTTAACAACTGAGCCAAGGCTGCTTTTCCATCATGTTAAAGTCTCAAAGAACACTCTGAGTAGAAACACCTCCACTTGAAAACAACCAGTAACAATGATTTAAACCACATCTAAATATCCAAATAATGCAAGACCTTTTAATTTTTCTCATGCATTCACTTACTGCTGAGAGCCAACAGAATCAATGGCACACAGTTTCCACTGTTTACATTTAGCACTAGTTAAATTACCTAAAATCATCTCAAGAGGCTAGATATCTCATGCAAAACCACACTGAATCCCTTACTGGTGACAATTAGTTTTCTCTTATATTAAAACTATACTAAAGTACAGAAGACAAAGTAGTTTTATATATTAAACACATTTCATACACAAAGGCAATTCAATGTGCTTTCCAGTTGCACGAATATACAACATCACAGAGTAGATTTTAAAATCTAGCCTAAATTATGGAGATTACATGAAATTAATCAAGTCACGGTGCAGCATAAAAAGCAAACAGGTAAAAGAAATCAAACGTTTTCTATTTTGATTTAAAAGTCATGGGGCCCATTTTAAGTAAGATGATTTAGTTTGTGTGCAGCTAGTAGCTAAAATCATTACTAATTTTTGCATTGTCCTCACAGGTATTATTGTATTTTCTTATATGTGCAAGATAATAATGTGCACAACATCTAAAATCAGAAAATTATCAGAGGGTATTCAAGATTAGTAAAATGAAAAATTGGTCCAAAATAGGGAAACTAAAAAAGTATGAAAAAAACAGTTTGAGACTCAAATTGACACCATGAGGCACTGAAGGCTAATGCTATTGATTTACATTTGTTCCCAGGGCCCCAATAAAACTGTAATTATCTGTTCACTATCACATCAGATACATTCTGATGTTGTACTGTCCATTTTAACCACACGGGGGCAGCGTAGCATCACGTAGTAACTTGTTTCTGGCCAATGGGAAATCTTATTGCGCACGTTGACTCTGAACAGGAACAAAAACAACAGGCACCGGCGATCATTAACAGAATAAAGAGGCGGTGTTACCGGTGGTTTTAAACATGGATGGGTACAACTCTGGAGAGGACGTAAGGCTTTTTTTAAACTAAATTTACATATTATGTAAACCTGAGCAGCTGACATTTTTAATCCGCCTTGTTTTAGCTAGTCGTTTCACCGTTAGCCGTGCTAGTTAGCGTTAGCTCATCCTGCTATCACGTTAGCTTTTTAGCTTATCTGGTTAGCTGATGGTTTTAATCAGGGCGTTGTTCCAGTTTTCTGTATTTCATTGCAATAATAGTTTCTCACTCTGAAATTTAAAATAAATCAGTGTCTTTGTGCCACAAAAGATCAAATCTGGTGTCAAAGCTCATTAAAGAGCTTCTCAGCAATCGGAAGAAGCCTAAAAAGTTACAGGAAGAAAATTGCAGATTTTCAGTGAAGTTGCTTTTAAGTTATTCAAAGGTTTAAATAGCTGTAAATACACCTCCTCCTAAGACCACAGAACGTTAAACCTTGTGCTAACATTTGTTGTGAGGAAACATCTAAGACAGGATAAATAAATAGATCTAAATAGAAATAAAAGAGATCTATTCATTTAGGATAATTTCATAAATTATTGACCTTTTATGTTCCTGCAGGTTGTTTTTAATCCCGATGAGACAAGCTCCTTAGTTAAGGAGGTAGGTTATAGTTTCATGTAAGCATCATAAACAACAAAAATTTTTCTTTTTCAATTCGCATCATATTATGTGCTTTGTGTCAGTGTATCGAAGGGATCATCGGTGGAGCCGATTATAACCATAGTAAAGTGAACCAGTGGGCAGCGAGGGTAGTGGAGCATTCACTGTCTCATCTGGCCAAACAAGGACGGCCGTTCAAATACATAGGTCACCTGCTGTTTTACTATTTTCCTTCATTTACAAACACTTTTTGTTTGCTTGGTTTAAAAATGTAACTCTGGTTTCTGTTTGTTTCAGTGAATTGTGCGATCATGCAGAAAACCGGTGCAGGTCTCCATGCAGCCAGCTCCTGCTACTGGGACACATCTACAGATGGTAGGGATCCAGTGTTTTAGCTGCAGTCTCATTGTAGTCATAGCTGACTTCAAAAAAATTGGATATTTATTGATATTGTGTTGGAACTGGTTTGATTTGTGTGTTTCAGGAAGCTGCACAGTCAGGTGGGAGAACCGCACCATGCACTGCATGGTCACTGTGTTTGCTGTGGCAATCTGAAGGCGAGGCTGGGCTTCATATGTTCTCCCTCAAAATGCCATCAGTCTTGAAGCAGAGCTGGTCAGCATCACACAGAGATCCTGACCAGAAACGCAACGTTTGTGTACCTGAGTGTGTTTGAGTGGATTAAAGTTGTTTGCAATCCAGGCTGATGGAAGTCTTTTAAGACGTACTTTTCAATCATGACACTTGTATTCTTTGATCCAAAAGGGTTAAATGTTAAATACTTCCTAAATAGCCAAAAAATTTCCAGCAGCAAACTTGTTCACCTTTAGCTCCGTTAGCATTAAAGTTTAAAGAATATCTCATGTTTTGTCCCTCAAGTGGCTTTGATTTTTCATTGTTTAATTTGTTAATTAAATTAATTTACATTCCTGCAACAATGAAGACATTCCCATCTGCCTTCACTGTACATTTTTAGAAGCAGTTCTGAATGCTAAACATTAAAACAAGTTGAAATGTTTCTGTACTGTAACATGTTTCAGAAAATTCTTATTGTGTTTCTAACTGCAGTATTACGATTGTATGAAGCGTTTTTGCTTCTATTCTAGGCTTTTAACAATTTGTGGACATCTGGCTTATTTGGTCCTCTGGTCGTTAAACAGGTACTTCTAATTTTGTTTCTTAAAATTCTTCAAAACTGTTTAAACTTTCTGAAATTGTTTAATAAATGTATTTATCAATATCAAGTTTGGTACATTTATCTTAATTTAAAAATATAATTGGTTTAATTAGACATGAAAGAAAATGACTAAAGTGCACTTTGGGACATTGTCCACTAGAGGTCAGCATAATGCAGGTAATGCAGTAATAAAAAGCCATGCAACTTTCGCATATAAATATAGATTTATTTTGAAATTTCCGTTAACTTTAATCAGCTTAACACTCATTTTTGCCATGTTTAATGATTTTTTTTGGTCTATACTTTTTTGGCATCAAATGTTGCTTTTTTGTACAAACAGAAACATTCGTGATTTTTTAAGTTGCTCCTTTGCAGATACCTTGCACAAAGGAGTTAGTGCAAAACCAAACACTAGCATTCTCTCCCCCTGTAATTTCACAATAAAAGTCAAAAACAAATATCTGTGAAGAACTTACAGTTGTGCACTTGTTGTAAGTCTGGTTTCCGGTGAGAGACAGACACATATGCAACAAACATGAAGGCAAATACACCCAAATAAAGCATTTCACATCAGTGTGGTTCCTGCTGCTCAACAGTCTGACGACACTCAAATATTTTTTTGTAAACATGCAAAATACACAACTCTCACTGAAAATGCCCGTGCTTTTTTATACAGTAACGTGTTTGGTGAAGTTTGATGGGGATTAAACATCAGGTCTTCAAGCATGAGCAAGTCACAAAAGCAGCGAGTGCTAGTTATAAAGCTCTTCTCAAGGAGTAAAAAAATGATTGCTTGCAGCCATAAAACTGGCGAGATTATCAATAACTTTCAGCTGATCCCAGGTTTCACACATGCACACCTTCACGCCAAAAACAGACACAATACAGTCGCTTTAAACGCTCGGCTCCTTGTGATCAGTAATGCAGCATGTAGCGTGTCCGTGGGTTTTTATGTGTAATAAAGGCGAACATGTTGGCTGAGATGCAGAGGCGGATTTAATCATTCTAGGGCCAAAGGTGAAGCTGCCCCCCCCCCCCCCCCCCGTTTAATTATTCAATAAAATTATTTCTCTATCCTGATTTGTCATAAACTTGTTGCTACATTTGCTAACATATGCAATAAAAATGTAATTGTTCTTGATTTACTTCATGTAAACATGAGGTTTATTCATCCTGTTACATTTGACTTCCTCATTAAACATTTTAGAGAATAAAAAGATTGAAAATTCAGATAGATTTAATAGTTTTTTTGCTCGTGGTTGGAAGTCAATAATCAAGGCTGTTCAAGAAAATCCACGTCTAAATCCATCTGCAATAAAATATTTATGGCTGATTCTGTTAAAAAGGAACAGGAAAAACATGAAAGCTTTTAAATGCACTCCCCATGAAAGGGTGCTTTACATATGGCTCTCTGTTGTACGAAACATCTGTTACTGGCAGCCACTAGCAATGCTAACACAAGCGCTCTAGAAAACATCTAGACATCTTCTTTTGTCTGCAGGTAAAATAAAAATAACTTGAACTTATTGGTAATTTTGCTAAACAAATTAATAACACATTCTTCTCCTTATTTCCTGTTTTCAGCACATCTAATGAAAGAATGGACACATTTCTATCCATTGCAGAGACGGTTCTAGGAAGGGTCCGAGGAGGGCCAGTGCCACCCTGAGAGCAAGCTTGGACCCCTTTTACTCCCCCGTACCCTAGGGCAGAGCCGAGGTATTAAAATGAATGATTTTGAGTACTGAAAAGCTGCTATTATATGGTTGTAATTACAAACTAAAATTTGAAACACTTTGAAGTAATGTTTGTAACATTTTCTTACAGTGCCTCTCTAATGGCACTTACACATTAGCATCGGCACGGCCTCAAAAGGTACGGAACGGCACCGGAATTTGGTTTTACACACAGGTCAGATTTGTGTTTTCGGTGCAATGGCGACTCTTTTTCTCAGACCTTCTCCCCAGCGGTCAGACTGGGACCGAGGCAACACTACGAAATGATTGGCTGGCTGAAAATACGCCTACCGCCTCCCATCTGCAGAAGAATGAGCCAGCAGGTGGGCGGGGGGGGGGGGGGGGGGGGGGAGGTTCCGCATGCTCGATTCATTGTCATGCTGGTTGCTGTTGAGTAAACTTCTGTCTGTAGCATGGAGCTGCCGATCAGTGTGTGTGTGAGTGTGTGCATGCGTGCGCCTGTTCTCTGCATCGGAGCTCTTGCCCTGGCGAGCAGACAACTGCTCAGGGGAGAAATCAGTGTGTGTGTGTGGCACAAGATTATGAGGACACACACAGCAAATTAATAAAATAATGTGGTTCAGAGTCTCCAAAAGCAACACAGCTCATGCCCACCTTTGTTTGCCTTATAATGGAGGACACCGCAGACTTTCCCGCGCACATTAAACGCTGCCCACAGGCTCGGGGATTTCCGCATTCCTAAGAAGTCTCTCAGATTTATAAGTGAACACTCCACCGCCCGTTCGAGACCGAACCCACGCCATCCAGCCCGACCAAACCCCGACCGTGCCGACGCTAATGTGTAAGCGCCATAACAGAGCAGCCGAACGTTCCCGATCCATATCAAACAACTGCAGAGAGTCCAACATTGTAACATGCAGGATGGAGAAAAATTTTAGTTGTTGATCATTTTTGACAGATTTAATTTTTACATAAAGAAAATAAATAAAAAAAAGAAAAGTTAAGATCTGCAGCACCCATGGTTTTTCTGAGGCTCAAAGTCAATGTAATTTTTTAATTTCTTTAGCCAAATGGATAAATCCGCCTCTGCTGATAAGACGGGTGAGCATCAGCTCTGTGTATTTGCAGAAGGAACACGTTCTAAAAGTCTAAAAAAGCTGACATGTGAGATCAGAGGACTCTGAAATCAGCTCACAGAGGGACGCGCATGGCACTTAAAACAAAATAGTCTATTGAATGGCTGTGATGCTTTAAACGTTGCAGGACACGTTGTGGCTGATCCCACCGTTGATTTCACCTCCTGTATTGTTTTCTGCCTCAGTGGGAATGTCATAGATGGTGTCATTCAGCATGTCATACGTTGTGTCATTGGGCACGTCGTCTGTGCTGTCACTGGCCGTGTCGTTGGCTTGGTCATTCCTCTGCTCTTTGTGCGTGGACTCCTCCGGCTCTGCCTTTCCAATTGGCCTGTTTGGAGGCGACGCAGATGTACACATGATACAGAGGAAAGCAGAGCAATCCCAAAACCCCTGCGTCATGCTGGAGGAGAAGAGCTTCCGACACGGATGACAAAACTGGTAGAAGATCAGCATGAAGAAGATGGCGATGGCGTAGGCCACTAGCAGCTGCAGCAGCAGCAGCGGGGCAAAGATGAACTTGTAGACGTCTGTTTTGTAAATGTACCAGAGCAGAAGCAGCGAGGCGTTCTCCACAAAACGCAGCATGTAGTACACAGCCATGCGATACCAGTTCTGGGACTTATTGATCAGGTCTGGGTCGTTAAGTTTCACCTGCACGGCCGACCAGCAGAACATGTTGATGCCTGCGTAGAGGAAGGTGAGGAGGCACAGCACGATGGTAGTTCCAACTCTGGTGAGAGTTTTTTCAATGTTTTCTGGGAATGGGGAGTGGCTCTGCCAGAACAGGATCCAGGGGTAGAGGAAGAAGACCAGGAAGTTCAGGAAAACCACCGGCAGTACCCAGAACTGCAGCACGGAGCTGAACAGAACAAGGACTACCACACGAGTGGCGATCTCAAAGCTTCTCCAGAGGAAAATAATCAGGTACGCCAGAGGCTGGATGTCCACCTCGTAGTCATCGTATTTGATCTTGATGGCTAGGATGTTGCAGCGCAGCGCTCCGTACACGATGGACAGGAGGGAGATCACCATCAGTGTGCCTGACATGAGAAAAAAAAAAGTTTAAAGGACAAGTTCACACATTTTCAGTTGGAGTTTTTACAGAGACAGCTCAGATTATTTTGAAGCAGTGTTCTGCAACCTCAGTTTGGAAAAATAGGGATTATGTCTTATGAGATTGACAAGCTAACAGCTAGTCAAAGTGGGACCAGGAGCAAAGTGGTTTGCTTCAATTCCTCTAAAGTCAAAAACTTCATGCAAACACTAAGCTATGAATGTTTACACTTAGGTCTATTTAGCATCACTTTATTTACACACACAAAAGCAGCTGCAAGTTATGGCGCTTCCTGCAGAAACTGTCCTGTTTCAGCTGGAACAAGCTTTATAATAAATGTATTTTAAAAGTGTTGCATGTAAGTGCAACATTTGTTTAATGTTTTTAATAATAAGCAACAAAACGCTCCCAAAAAACCTGCTTTTCTCTGAAGACTACAGAAAAATTAAGTCCACTTTCAAATGAGTGTGAGAAGTAACCAAATGTCTCCTTTGTTTACCGGCTGATTCAATGCAGCAGCTTTTGCCAACTGTCATCAGTCATCCTGCTCATGCATAATAATAAAATATGTGATGTGTTTAGAGTGACTGATGCAGATGTCACAAAAATCGTGTAAAGTTAATTATTTCAGATGAATTTAAATAACTTTGAATTAGCCTTTTATCGTGTAAATTTGCATGTTTATAATGCGGTTCAAGAAAAAGCTGTTTTGTTGTGTTTGTTGTTTAATTATTCCAACAAGACAGAAATGTCTCACGTTTTATTAAAATCTGAAGACCACGTGTCCCGGGTTGAATTTGGGATGAATTTAGGAATGAGTGGCAGAGCGAACCATCGTGTTCCCTCAGAATCAGAGCAGCAGTTACATAACACCCGTTGGACTCAACATCCTCTTGTTTCTAACATGGCTCTAAACAGACCAGCCCACATTATGGTGATGCTCATAAAAAAACCCTGAGTCCCACGTACGATTCCAGCTCAGCTTCCCCTCACCTCTCCCTATGGACACCCCCTGGCGTAGGACACAGATGTAGAGCTGCAGGGTGAGCTGGGGGGCCGAGCCCAGGAAGGCCTGGATCACAGAGGTCCGGGAGAAGGCCGCTCGGTGTGTGAAGAGTTTCCCCTCCGCCTGTCCCACCTGCCGCTCCACTTCTTCAGACTGGCCCCCGCAGGGGAGCTGCTTCTTCCTGGTGATGCTGACATACGGCTCCTCCACTCGGCCCTCGCTGCCATAGATACAGAACGCCTCCAGACACCTGAAACATCCGCAGAGTGGAGACCTTCAGAGGCAGCAAAAATTTAAAAAATAACAACATTTAAAGTCTTTTTCCTCAAGTCTCCATGTCTTTGTGTTACATTTAGTCCCAGCAAAAACAATAAAAAGCTACATTTACTGAGATGCTGCAGATGTTCAAGAAGTCAGCGGTAATTTTCCCATCGAGCATTGATGCGATCGTCATCATGGATGCCACAAGACACAATGGTGACGGTCAATTATCTGAACGAAAAAGCTGCAGTGTGGAGAGAGAAAAGGAGCAGAGGTCGAGGAGCTCTGATGAACAGCCAATAAAGCAACGTGGCAGCAGGATTAAAGCCTGAGAGCTGCTGAGAGACCAACTGTTCATCAGCCCAGATAAAGTGAACTGACACGTAAAGGGAACACGTCACTGAATTATTCAATGTAAGAGAACCTCGAGGGGGTTTTAGGATGTTTAACCGCATCTGAGTGTGTGAAAATAGGGATCAGTGAAACACTAAGACAGTGTTTAAGCTTTTAGCTCAGTGCATTCAGACTGACGAGCAGCAGCGGTCAGGAACGTTCAGGGAATTTTCTACAGAATGAAACAATCTGAGCTCCAAACCACTTAACCATCGCGAAAATAATCTCAGGCTTATAGACATCTGGTGTCGACAGCAAGGTTCAAAATTAGAGCCTTTTAACGGATCACCTAAATAAAGATCTAAACCTGACAGGTGATTATTTTGGGCAGGGTCGCGATTACCAGTGCCCTCCTACACAGTGTGACCTCACTAAAACTATTGATGCAGAGTTTCTATAATCAGCAGGTGAAGGTGATCCTCTGATGCTGCAGCCAAGGTCAAAATTCCAGCCTCTTACAATTTTATGCATCACTCAACAAATCTTTTGTCATTATTTACATGAAATTTAAGTCTGTCGTTGCTTCTGCAGGGTTTAAGAGGTAGTGTCACCCTGGTGACACTATTCTGGCCACAGGGGGTGGGGGAGTGGGGGGGGTGTCTAAGTGACATTTAATTAACCCAGTAAAGGGTCATGTTAGCACACACTGGCGCAAAATAATTGTGAAAAAATGTGAAAAAGTTGCTTAGTAACCTTTTAAACCGATGAGCTAAAGGTGCTATCAGCAGCTAGTTAACAAACACAACACATCAGATCATACGCCCTGTGGCGACTACAGGGTGGAACTACATCCACAGTAGCCACTGGTGTTTTATTCATAAAAATCTATTAAGTTATTAATTGGTCAAATAAATACCAGCACGGAGCAGTCAGCTGGAGGAGAGAGAGGCGGAACACGGCAGGTTGTGGAGTCTTATTTTTTGATATGTGGACATCTCGCCTTGAACTGGCTAACAGCAACACAACTCTACCATTAACTCTGTTTGCTCGACGAAATTAATGTTTTATGAATGTTCAGAGACAGTGTTACGTAGATCTGTCAGGATTTTTAAATCCTGCAGTTTTACTGTCTATTTTCTATCAAATGCTAATGCAGGAGATAGTTGTAGGAGACTTTTAAAACTTTAACCTGCATGAAAAACTCAAAGTTATCGATTATAATCAAACGTTTGTCAGTTTTCCACACCTTTAAAGTCTCTAGATGGAGTTTTGGGATTAGTACTTTCATCAATACTAGCCTTATCTAGCCCTTTATATGTTTACTGCCCTCTGGTGGATGATCTACGGGTAGTAAGAGCCAATTTTATTCCTTTGCTACTGTTATATTCTTATTTTTTTTACATGATTAAATAAAACTGATTATGTAGTTGTTTTATTAGTATTAGCACTTAAATGGTTCAGTTTCAAAATCTAACCTTTTAATTGATATTTCACTTTACGACATTAAAGGGTTAAGCAACAAAAAAGTACAAAACAAAATATGTGGGACTAATGCAGGTCTGCTAGTTAGAAGTGATTCATGATCAACACGGACACTAAAAACAAGTTGGTGAGTGTGGTTAGAGCAGCAATCAGCTGTGTCACTGCACAGAATGATAAAGGTTGTTTAAGTGTTGCTCTGGGCGGATAAGAGAAGGAAGTGCTGCCTCGCTGTCTGCAGCAGAGACGGACGTCCCCCTCTTAGCTTGTGTTGTTGGTGATAAGAAGCCTGCAGCGATGTGTGCTATTCTTAGAGCTGCTCCTCACTAAGGATAGACGTGCAAGTCTGAGGAGTGATCAGTCAGCTCGGGATCAATCAAATCAATGTGAGGAAAAATACAAGCTATCTCTGAATCATAAACATAGATGTCTCAGGGTGATTTCACTGTAGTCTCAGCTCACATGTTGAATCATAAAACCTCACCTGAAAACGGTATTCCTCGAAGTTTTTCTAGATTCATATTTTACTCTAAAAGGTTTATTATTTCTATCTTATTCTGTTCATTGCTGCAGCACCTTTCAACGTTCTGTAACACTCTGAATTAGCTGCTGTTTCTTTAAGGCCTATGTTTCCTTAATGTGGTTGTCTGTTCTAAAATGCTGCATCCAGAGACAGCTGCACTATCATCATCTGACTGGTGCCAAACTACCAGCCAGACTGGCAAGTTTTGCAAATGTAAGATGTAAATGACTTTACATGCAAATGCCTGCAAGGATCCCTCTAAGTAAAGCCCAGGGTTTTGACTGCAAGGCTGCACCCTGTTCAAAAGCTGGTGCAGATTTTAAAAAACGAGCCGTCTTAGAAACAATAAAATGTCCTGGAGAGGGTGTTTGTGCATCTTTTGTAAAGTTTCAAAGCAGATGCAATCAGGAAAACAACATTTAAGAAAACATTTGAAAAGCTTGCAACATTTTCAAAAAGTTGCAAAAGAATCTGTTACATTATTAATTTATATATATGATGTCTATGATACAGCAATATATATATATATATGATGTAGTTCATTAACATCATTTCTTGGTTAGAGCTGCAAAATCGAACCAGCAGGTGCAGCCACTTTCAGGAGGTGCGCGCGCGCGTGTGTTTTAAGGGATGCATCAGTGGATCTACTCCTGTTTGATAATTGCTGTGTGGGTGGAAGTTCATAGGGAGGCTGTGAATTAGCTGGATTAATCTCGTGTTCTGTGGTTTATGATTTCATGTCCTTCATGTCATCAACTGGTCTGAGATCAGGGCCGTGTGGAGTCATGGGAGCAGGTTTTAGTTAAAGTGCTGCACAGATTGGGAGCTGCAAAAGGGAACATATTGATGGTTTATTGATTACTTCTGATCTGAAAGACTCTGAGTGACATATGTGTAAACACCCAACCAGACAAAGGGCCACACAGCAGGATGAAAACAACAGCATGTGCGCAGTGTGGTTTTGCGCCAATTATGCACAATAAGCAGCCGGCGCGGGGTTTTAAAACACAACATATTAAAATCATGTCTGGCTACGAGGACAGATGCAGAAAACAGCTCCTTTAGTGATGAAGCACCGACCTGACGATGGGACCGAGTTGCAGGATGTGCAGCAGCAGGATGAGCGGTCTGTCCCTGCTCAGGTCCCGGTGGATGAAGGTGAGGGTGAGCTGCACGAGCACGGACGGCACGAGCGTGAAGAGCAGCGTGAGTCCCTGCCAGATCTGGTCCCCGTCGGAGCGGTACGTGGAGCTGAGGTACAGCGCTGCCGTGGTCTCAGCCGTGAACAGAGACACCGACACCAAGATGGAACTCGGGAATCTCATCCTCACTCACTCCGCCATCTGGGGATGGGGATGGATCTGCGCCTCTTCGCTCCGGGGGTGCGCGCGGCCATAACGGAGCCACCGAGCCGTCTGACAGGGGGTCCGGTAGGACGAGACGGGGCTGGGTCCTCTCAGCAGCAACGGCTCGGATCCGAGGCAGGGCTTTAGCCCAGTGTTGTACAGAGGAAAGACTGCAGGGGGCGCAGGCAGCCAGGCAACTACACACGCCCTGCAGACGTGGTATGTGTCCCGCGTATTTTAGATGTTTTCATTCTCATCTTGTTCAACAGGAACCCATTAATCACCCTCTGTTTCAAATCAAGTGTGATAGAGACACGTAAAACCTCCAGGGAAGGTAACCCGGAAGGACCTGGACCTGACCTGTTATTGAATATTAAGGTAAATCTGTAAAAACTCCTCATTCTGGAACATATCCTCATGCAAAAACTACATATTCTCTAGGATGACATCAATACTAGCTTTGATGACATTTCCTCTGAAAAAGGATGGTGCATGTTTGAGTCCCCACCAATCCTCCAAATTTGATCAGATGTGAAATTCGATTAAAAGAAGGAAGAAAAAAGTTCAAATTGCAATAATGTTTGTTGTTGCTGCTGGTTTCCCATTTTCTCACTATGGAAGCATCAAATATGAACAAATGGCTTTAAAACTTTAAACACAACTTTGTTTTTCTCAACAAGGCAACTAATTTTAGGTGATTCCATTTGTTCGTGTTACGTGCCGTGCTCCATTTCGGCCACAAGATGGCCTCAGTGGCCTTTGCCTCGCCTGTCTCCCGGTCCCCAGCTGTTGTCAATTACAGAAACCACTTGGCAGCTGTTAAAAGCTGCTTCCAGCCACCAGTCCAGGGAGAAGGTCCAAGGGTAGACTAGACTGGCAAAAGTTTATTCTAGTCTCCTCGCTCGCGCTTTTGGTAAAACTCGGAATAGTTAGTCTTCGGTGCTCTCGGTTTCTGGATTACGGATTTGGATTTAGGATTTTGACCATTTGTCTTATAGACTTCGGACCGGTTTTGACCTCGATTTAGGATCTCCCCTTTTGTATCATATATATTTATTGCTCTCGGTTTTCTTCCCACCCCCTTCTGGGGTGGCGCTTTTCGTTATCTCCCTTTTAAATATAGCTCCTTTTGTTTTGTGTATATAGTACTGGTTTTAGGTTCTTTGTAAATATTCCATTCCGTTCATTTTGTAATAAAGGTCTTGTTTTAAGCGACACAGCACCCTGATTATTATTTCACCCACACACTAATTTTATTACCCCCCTCCTCATCTCTCCTAGAGAGCCGGGGACGTAATAGTTCGTATCTTACAACAAAATCCTAGAAATCTCTAAAACTCATGACACTAGATGATCTAAGGACCATCATTAGATTTATTTCTTATTTATTTCTTACGGAGACGTGGCAGCAAGATGGCTATTTTGTACATTTCAATGAAATATGTCCACCAAACTGCTCTGTGTTTACCACACCACGCCCGACACGTCGTGGTGGAGGTCTTGCTGTGGTCTTTAAGGACAAACATGTCTTTAATCTGGTGTAAAATGGCCCTTTTACAACTTTTGAATGTCAGGTCATCAAAGCAGGGTTACAAAATGTATTTCACTGTATTTTAATCTACCGACCTCCCGGTCCAGCCGGCCCTTTTCTCTCTGAATTTGCAGAATTTCTATCATCAATGATCAAACGAGAAAGTTTTAATTCTTGGTGACTTTAACTTACACATTAATGATCCTAATTGTAGCACAGCAGTGGAGTTCATGTCTATTATGGAGTCTTTTAACTTAGAGCAGCACGTTTCACGCCCCACACACAAAATGGGCCACACTCTAGATCTTGTTGTCTCTTTGGGACTAAAAATCTATCTGAAGAGGTTCATGTGAGTGACCACAGCTGCATTTTCTTTAATCTCTCACAACCTAAAATCAAAGAGAAGTATCATTAATCAGTCAGCAGTGGATGGATTTTCTAGATTATTTGAAAGCAGCTCAGTTCAGGGTGATGATCCAAGCTCCAGTCATTGGATAAACAATGCTGCCGCATCTTAGATAAAGTAGCTCCTGTTTAGCAGGTTACTTTTTCTAGCAAGAGAAAAAGTCCCTGGATTAATCAAAACATTTACAGTCTCAGAAGGACCTGCCGCAGAGCTGAGAGACGTTGGAAGTCAACTAGATTAGAAAGTCACTGGTTGCACTTTAAAGAACTGATAACATTACTTGTAAGTCGCTTTGGACAAAAGCGTCTGCTAAATACATAAACATAAACATCTCTGAATGAGACGGTGAAAACTTCCAGGGCCACTTACTTTGCTCAGCTGATTGCAGTAAACAAAAATAACACTAAAGTCCTGTTTGACACCATAAACCAGATTGTTTCACCTCACCCCCTCTTATGCCAGTTTACTCAAGGTCTGACTGCAACAACTTTCTAGCATTCCTTGAGAATAAAATCAGAAATATCAGAGAAATGTCAAAGTTTTTCACCCCCATCTACTTCCTCCCCCTCCCGCCCATCCAATCCCCTCTCTCTCAATCATGGTCTGTCTCTACTCCTGTAGATCTCCAGAACATTTGCCTCATTCAGAAACCATAGAACCAACCTCATGCCCTGCTGATTTTATTCCTACTACCTTGTTAATCAGGATGTTTGACCAAACCGGCCCACACATTGTAGAGTTTATTAATTTATCCTTACAATCTGGCTCTGTACCATCTGTTTTCAAACATGCAGTTATTGAACTTATCCTTTAAAAACCAAGTTTGGACTAATCTCAGCCTAAAAATTACAGACCCATTTCTAAATTACCCTTTATCTCTAAAATATTGGAAAAGGTTGTGTCATATCTACTGATTACTTTTCTGGATCTACACAACAGTTTTGATAAATTCCAGTCTGGTTTTAGTAAAAAAACGTTCAACAGAAACAGCTTTGCTTAACGTTTCCAGTGACTTTATGATGGCTGCAGATGATGGGGAATTCACAGTGTTAGTATTGTTAGATCTTTCTGCAGCTTTTGACACTGTTGATCACAACACCTTAATTAACAGACTTGGTGACTTGGTTGGGATCTCTGGAACTGTTCTAGACTGGTTTAGATCGTACCTTTCTAACAGAAGTTATAGTGTCTGTATAAACCAAATCATGTCAGATCCCGCTGATCTGTTCTGTGGGGTACCCCAAGGCTCTGTTTTGGGTCCACTGTTGTTTCTGCTGTACACACACCCTCTTGGACAGATACTTGATTATTTTCATAATGTCTTATCACCTATATGCAGATGGTATTCAGCTGTACTGCTCCTTTAAGGATTCTGAGTTCTATAAACTGTCTGAATTACTAGAGTGTCTATCAGCTACCACCAGCTGGCTAGAAGATAACTTCCTTCTGTTAAACTCTGAAAAGACTGAATGTCTGATCATTGCCCCTGGGAGCATGGTTCCCCTGATTTTAGAAAAACATTCGTGTATTTGGATTTAACAATGAATGTGTAAAATATTCAAATAAATAAAATAAAAACCAAATGCAAATTAAAAACATTTGGTAAAAAAGCTGTCACAACCTGTCCTGTCTCCCCACTCTGTTCAGTCCTATGCCTTTCCTAATTGCTCCCATCTGCCTCTTGTCTCCCATTTCTGTCACGGTGCACGGGTGAAGTAGAGACGAGCTGAGGTGAGGATCCAAAATGCAGGGGAAAAAAGGCAGGCAGGTCAGAATGATCATGAAAAGAGGTTTTAATAGGGAGCGCACGGGACATGGAAACAATGAACAGACAAGGGACACAGAATTGGGACGGTTTAAATACACAAGCCTCGTGTTTGATTGCAATTAGCTTATTTAATCAGATTAATGAAAAATTTTAACAACATGCAATATATAAGAATATGCATTGCATCTTAATTATATTACTTTCTTTCTGAAATCCAACTCTTTAAAGGCAGTTTATAATAAAAATTACCTCAAAATTAAACTTCCAAGAGACACTACCCCCAGAGTGGCTGTTGTCTGATAGTAATAGTAACAACTAAAATCACCACCATTAAACCAACTCTGTTGCTTTTGAGTTCCTGTGTAAGCTGTAAAACTGTGCTTCAGTAGTTCAGTGTTTCTTCCTTCCTTGAAAGTGACTCAAACTTCGTTAGGTTCAGAATCATGAGGGAAATCACAACATTAGAGAAAAACCCTGAAAAAATGTGTTTCCATTACAGCAAAAGGTCCAACATCAACCAGCTCCAATGTATAATATTTATTGTGTTATGTGTTTTTATGTTGTGTGTGCTTGCTCGCGCACGCGCGTGTGTGGTTGTTTGACCTTGTTTTATCGTTGTTGGGTTTTTTGTTCAGAGTTGTTGTATAATTTTCACCAGCAGGGGGCGACAGAAGCCTGCCAATCCTGTTTGATGCTGTCCATGGTGCTGAAAGGCTGCTGCTGTCAGAGCAGGTGAGGGTGGGTCACTAGAAAGCCCTGGTGGTCAGAGGCGATCAGAGGATTACGTTTCACGTGTTTATTTAACAGAAATGTGGTTTCAGTCAAATAAATAAATAAATTACATATGAAGTGGTCACAAAGGGATTTAAAGTGACCCCAGAAACACATGAAGTGAAAAAGGAAATGACACAAAGGCACATATTAACAAATGAATACTAAATAAATATACCAAACCATGAAAAATACAATAAACCTAAAACTATAAAAATGGCCTGTATTTGATATAACGTGTTCTAGAGTCCTGGAACCTCCCAAGGCACTTCACAACACAATCAGACATTCTCTCACTCACACACACACATTCACACCCTGGTGGTGATGAGCTACATTGTAGTCCCAGCAGCCCTGGGGCGCACTGACAGAAACGAGTCTGCTGCACACAGGCACCACCGGTCCCTCCAAACACCACCAGCAGGCAAGGTGGGTTAAGTGTATTCCCAAGGACACAACAACAGCAACAGACTGAGCGGGACTCGAACCTGCAACCTTCCAATTACAGGGCAAGCACTTAACTCCTGTGTCACCATCGCCCCCAAAAAGTTAAACACAGACTCTGTCATGAAGTGAAGTTATAGGACCCAAATGCCCCTGAGGCATTCTAATCAGATGCCGAGCCACCTCAACTGGCTTCTCTTGATGTGAAGGAGAAGCAGATCTACACTGAGCCCCTCCCGGAAGAGTGAGGTTATCTTTAAGGGAGAGTCCAGC